GGAATATTAGCTTGTATTTCATACCGACACAATGGATGCTTCCTATATTGACTACATCAGTACTAATATTTAGTAAAATTTTTTAAATTAGACGTACGAAATTTGGATACCTGATGTTGTTGTACTATTGCCATAACTTCATCGAGCTTTTTCACGACGTTCAAAACTTGCTATTCATTGTTAGACATTTTAGATGACTTTTGTAGAATTTTTTAGTACTTTGACACTAGCACTGGGCGTATTATATAGAAAAATTCGTCCTTTGTATTGCACAGTTTACCGGGAATATTTTCGTCTTCCTGTCGAGAAAACAACGCAAGAAGCATCACGTGTAGTTAATGGCTAGTATGAGACCGCTTGAATTCCGTACGGGAACACTCCGCATCCGCCACCACTCAGAACTACATACGCCGAGGTGTCACAGTTATTAGAAAGACTCCGTCTTAAGCGTGTGCTCGACATTTTATGGACATCAAATTTTTTATTACGCGATTTACCGGAGAAATATACAGGCATCTTAGTTGTTTGGCTGCAACCGACTATTTGAAATACGTATGGTTTGCGGAGGGGGAAGAACAGGGCGAATTGTGATTTATTACATCAAAACAGGAGAATATCCTCAGTTAAACGAACTTCGTCCTCTTTCTATGTTAAGAGCATTTGGAAAATTGTACAAAAAAATATACCGCCGATTTGTGCGAGAACGAATGATCGTCACAAAGGTAACGCCGGTTTTCAGCAAGGTGTTCGCCTCTAGGTCTATGCATTAGCTCTACACGAGTAATCACGGGCATTTATAGGATCTAATCACTCAGTATTGATTTTGTTTGTCGACTTTGCCAGTGTTTTTGACAGAATTTGGCTCAAAACATTACTGGTTAAACTAGTGCAATGTGGAATGCCACAATAACTTCGGTTGTAGATATGTGACTGCCTCCATAGACGAAAGACGTCTATTTCTTTTGCTGGGTTGCAATCAGATTTTTTCGATACTGAATGGGGCTTGCCACATGGATTGCCCCTCTCCGTTAATTTATATCCCATATGTGGCCGATTTAGCGAAGCTTAATGAAGGAAGCATAAAGATCATTTTTTGCGGATGATTAGTAGCTATTTTTTGAGGGTCCATTTGGTATCGAGTAGCACTATTCTTTCAAGTCATTGGAATTTTTGGCGCAAAATACTCTTGATCAGATTAGGACGTACTGTGGGTTTTGGATGATTGAGTTAAATGTATGTAAAACTGTCGCACTTTTAGTGAGTGCATGACACTTTTTCAAATGGTTTCGATCATGTTTGTTTGATTTGGTCGTTTATCAATTCGCTTGTGACATCGAGTTTTTTTACCTTTGTGCATCCAGTGTTTGTATGGTTGATTCCGACCTTTTTTTATCTGATCGACTTGCAATAGGACCGCTTGGCGAGTTTATTTTGTTTTATTTACGAAAAGTTTACGGTTGTCAATATTTGGACTTGGAGTTCTTTTTTTCGATTTTTGGTGAACGTACTTTCCATGATCATGTTTTCACTATTGGAAAAAATATTCTTTCTCTGTGTGGTCTTATCCTGATTCAGCGGCTCTTCTCGAGATTTACCATATGAGCAAGTCTATGGCTGTGCTTGAGTCCAAAGCAAGTGTCCGAAATCGACATATTGAGCTATAACATATATTCCGATTAGTGGCCAAAGATAACCAAATAAGTTTTGTCATGAACTGAGCGCTAAATAATTCAGATGCTGAATCAGTGTAATAATAATCTAATTCATTAGAGTATTGTGGAGCTAATGAAAAACCCTATATTTCTGCTAGATTCCAAATATGTCGTGTTAGAGAACTTACACTTTTTTCTGACTTTGGAAAAATCACCGCTTTTGTTGTACTGTTTCGTGGCGTTCAGAAATATCCTCATAAATCGACCAAAAGTTAATCTATTTATTTTTAGCTTAATGTGAATGATTTATTATAAGGAAACCTCAAAATTCGAATACATTTCTTCATTCTAATGAAACAAGCGAAATTAGTCAATTCTGAGCTGCTGTCGACCTACCTTCTAGAAATGAATATTTGTGTCGTAATATCTGGTTAAAACGGCCTTTACTGTGTATAACGAGAGAGAGTACGCTAAATTCTACACGAAATCTTTTTTCGACACCTTTCCATGTTTGTTTAGTCATTAAACACATATCGAAATCCTTACGAAAAAGGCTTTATATATTCAAGTTTTTGAAGATTTTCAGAGTATCTCGTGTATAGTTTTCTGCTTCGGCACTGTAAAACAAAGCTTTTAGCATATTCACTTGGCCTTATGCCAATTTTCTTGTCTTTCCTTCTCATTGATTCCTCTTTCTCTTTTCCTTTACTGTATTGAACAACTATGTGTATGTTGATGTAAAGAAAGAGAGAAAACGAGGGGTGATACACACTGCGCAGCAGCAGCACACTTATCTATTGGTACTCACGAGATGACGAAGAAATATCAGCTGACCACAAGAAACAGGACCAATTGATTGGCGATAATGAACAGAAGGTATCGTACCGGTTATCCCACAGCGGGCAACCATGTGGATACTAGGTTAAAAAGTGAAACTGCCCTTTTGACGATTCAAATTGTGCTACATATAGTTCGTACCACGGACTATTTAAGACGATAAAATCCATTTTTCTCAAACCAGAAGCTTTTTGATTAAAGACGAATGATACATCTAGGATCAGCGCATTGGACAACATCGAATGATATGTCAGTTGTATGTTTTCATGCGCAAAACATTGTTCGATTTAATGTGCCATACAAGTGATACGAAAGTCTCTAAACATTGGTTTTATAGATTTTCATAGGTGCTCTTTCCAACGGTGTGATTTACAAGTTCAAAGATGATTTTATCAGGATGTTTCAAAGATCCATCTCTGCAAAACCCTACTAAAAGTGTTTTTGATCTTCGTAAATAACACCGTTGGAAAGAGCACATATGAAAATCCAGAAAACCAGTGTTTAGGACTTTTGTATCACTTTTATGGCGAATTATGAACGAAACGAGAATCCAAGGAAGCAGCACAATCTGTGAGATGGTTTTAGCCAACAGCTGTTATTTATCGTTTTGTAACATTTCTCTTGAAATGAAGAAACATGCTTCCTATAAAAGTGTATATGTATATATACATGCATAAATTCGAATTTCGATTCGAAACTATTTCTATGAACAGAAATAGTATTAGTTTGTAATTTAAGAAGCTAAGAAAGAATGCTTGAAAGGAAAAGAAGTTGTCATCGAAAACGTTGAGGCATCATTTTTAGACGACATCGTTTTAGTTACACAATTAAATTTGAGTCAGATTGCTGGATTAGTAGTATATCTGAACAGGACAAATATATTTATGTTTAGTAGCAAGACCAAAAAGGAACAACACCCAACCATTATTAGGTTTTAGATTCGATCGTAACGAAAGAATTAAGCGTAAAATCTCTTCTGATATGCTCACTAAAGTAATGATAATAAACAAGAATAAGTTAGATATCATCGCCAATACTATAAACAGGTTATCAATTGTTTGAATAATTTTTTACCAATTGAAAATTTTCAGTTGGTATGTATGAATGTATGCCAAATAAAAATGAAAGAAGAATGTCGAAATTTCTGTTATAATACAGAATAGTGACATAGCATACCGTCGTGTATTTCCTTCTCTTTCTTTACTTGCTTTGTACATGTCGAAGAATTTAATACGTCTTGTTTCTTTCTTTCTTGCCTGACGAAATTGTCACTTGTCTCTAATAACCGTCATTCGTGTAAGGTGCAGGTAATTCAAACTTCGAGTGAGATTTTTTGTTTTGCTTTTTTTTACACCATTTGATAGAATGTGAGCTGCTGATCATGAAAAACTACTTTTTAGCCTTAGCAAATACTTCCTTCCGGTCGAAAAATACGAAATACTGAGAAGATGTCGTTTTTCGAGAAAAACACATCTTTTTCGAAATGTGCAAAATTTTCTACTTTGTTCATTTTTTCGGCTTCTGAAAATAATTTTTTCAGATTCAGCATCAAAAACTGAGTACAGACAAGCCATTAAGTCGACTCTAGACTCAAAACTCTATTGTTGGTGGCGCTTCGAATCGCGTCGAACGAGACGCGTATAGGTCGATTTTGTAACCCTATCTAGCTTTTCTGCATACGTGATGGAGCCAAATATTTTATCTCATTCGACTCATCATACCACCAGCTACAAAGTTACAAGACCATTTTTTTTTCTTTTCTTTCCTGTGTTGAGAAAAATTGCTTTTATTGGTATCATAAGACAAACGGGAAGGTCGTTTTTAAATAAAATGCCTATTTTTCATTCAAACCGAGTGAAAATTTGTTCACATAGGTAAAAACTGATGGCAAATCCAATGGGCATACTTTCTAGATCTCATCTTTCTAGATTCATTATATCGATATCTTGAAGACATATATTCTCGACTGTCAAAATTTCACCCTCACGCTCACCGATCAATTGCGAAAGCGCTGAAGGAGTAATTCAACTGTGAAAAGATCACTGTCAATTGTCATTGCTATTTGGTACGAAATGGAAGTAATTTATACATATATGCTCGTACATTAACATAAATATATGACTTCCACTATTTTCTCCCCGTATCCATGTATGTTGTACTTCTTACTCACGTGTATTAAATTTTAACTTAGTAATAAATATAATTTGATCACAGTTCAATTTTGTTATCTTTTTCAATTGGCAACATGTTGTTTTTCGACATTCTGCTCTGTCGGCATTTTTCTCTTGTCGACACTATGCTTTTCGACATGTGTTTGTCGATATTTTTCTGTCGACCTTTTGCTACTTCCCCCTTGCAAGCTGTATGCTGATGACACTTGTCTGTTTGGCAAAAGTCGCGACATAATGGCTTCGACAGATTCACTAAAGAAAGATCTGAAATGTTTGTGCGATTGGTCTGATACCTGGCCACTTTCTTTTCATGTTAAAGAATGTAAAACTATTCTGTTTACTAGCTGTAAATACTAGCTATAAATTTCACATATTTATCTTGCGGAGTTTGTTTAAAAGCGTTCACGAGCTCAATCGTCATATTGGCGAAATCATCTAATTCTTTTTCGCTAGGTTCGGCAGGGTCACTGCTAACAAAATCACCGTCCCACACCACTGTAGACGACCAATCGAAGAAGGATTTCAGCCAAGACAGATTTTTTATTCCTTCTGATGTGCAACGACGCGGATGTACAGCTTTATTTTGATAGCAGAACACAGGGTTGCCTGAGTCGGTTGTACCATGTCCCGTATACGGCGCTTCACAAGGTTTAAAATCTTGCAGTATTTCCCATAATTTTGGCATTTTGGTTTTACATGCGTCGCGTATAAAACGATCTGACAGGATTTTTTCTTGCTTAAGTAGTTGGATGCAAAAAAACGCATTTTGCACACTAAACAAGTTTTTGCTGGTTTTTGCCGATTTTTTACCGAATTCGAAATGGTACTTTTTTGGAGCAATTCTACGAAAATCAAAAACATTTCTCCCACCGTTCTTTTTTGCTTAGTTTGATAAAGGACACTCGATCGCATAAGGCTCCGTGTAGATCAAGTTTATAGAATTTTTTTTTACCATTAGAAATATAACGATAAAACCCACCGCAAAAGAAAGCAAAAAAATGATGTAATTCCGTCACGACATGTAATTCCGTCACGGAGCCATTACGCTTGTTTCTTTTCATTTAAGCATTTTTGAGTGAAAGTAAAGAGATGATTCAAAAGCTCTTTTCATGCTCTACAACTTTTATATTAGATTTCTTGTTTGAATATGTTTCGTGTTAGAGCATTTTCCAAAGTTTGTAGAGCACTAGAAAAAAAAAGGCTAAAAAATGTAATTCCGTCACGACACCTATTTTGCTCATAAAAATCGTTCTACTTAACCGACGCATTCGAAGTTTTTACCAGAAACCAAGCATTCTACCGCACATCTCTGATAAAAATTTCCTCATCTTTTGTTCAGTATTTGAGGAGAAACAGAGCCCAAAAGTTGAAAAAATGTAATTCCTTCACGCGCGTTTAAGCCGAGGAAGAAAACAGTATGTTGATTCGATATTGCGCTTTCCGTAAAAAAGAAACAATATAGAAACGATCGTTATTATTTTCTGTTTTCTCTTGCGTCGGTCTATCAGCATACCCAAACCGTTACAAGATGTGTCGGAAGAACAAACACAGAGCTGTACTCAATAAGAATTTTCAGCCTGCAGAACGTGAAGATTGAGAATGTGAAAATGATGTTTGATGAAGAAAGAATGAAAGCGAACGAAGGTCCTTGTCTACTCGTGTAAAGTTGTTCTGTTGTCGATATGAAAAGTGAAGTCGAACAACATCAGAGTGAGAAAAAATGATTTCGACAGATTACTTTGTTTCAAAATGATTTATCAATTGATGAGATTTTTCTTTTCAGACTGAGAACAATTGCTGACAAACATGATCTACGTATATTAACGACTCATCATTGTGACTTCAGGACATTTTATGAAAGAGTCATTTGTCATACAAAGATAACAATAGTTTCTGCGTTGTAATCGTTAAGGTGTGAAAGTGATTGTTTGTTCGTTTCTTTCATTTGTGTCTGAGATATTTAGAGCAGTGAATACAAACCATAGTATTCAAAAATAACTATTAATAACTCATTGGACATTGATTCGAATCTAATAATAATGATCTTGGAAAATAAAATAGAATCAAGATTTTAGAGACCGAAAGCTGCCACCATATTGAAATCTAATCAGTTTAAAGCGTTCGACCAAAGATGGATGTAAAGAAGTTATTAGTTTTCCACTATGAATGTTCTGATGAATATTGTCATTATACAGAACATTTTGTTTAACATCTTAGCTGACAGGACAGTGTACAAATGAGTAATACGTCGTAGTGTATAAATGAGTATATATACGTCAGTTTGTTCTCGATATCAAAATAACTTACTCGTTCATCTCGTTGTTCTTTATGGCAAAATGTTTGCATTACTGAACTTACTAAACTTCTTTCTTGAATTTATTTTAGATCTAAAATCTTTTCGACTGGAGTAAAGTTACACACTGTACTTACAGGAGAGTTAGGGTTACTCCTTGACAAAGAGAAAATATTTGGATCTTGTGGATCAGAAGTTATTAGGATTTGACAAAAACAATGGAACGCTTCTACTAACAAACTAAGTAATGAAAGGGCCTCTACTGACGTAGTGATTCATTTCCTAAAATAGCCGAGTACCTGTGGGAAAAATGAAAGACAGTAGTGAATTGTCAACAGCTACCGCTGCCAAGCAATATTTAGCTCTGTACAGGCCAACGAAAATGAAATGATAAACTGTGGCAATACACTTAAAGTAGTGAAACACGGGCCAATGAAATTAATTAAGTGATATGTATGGAAAATTTATATTTTGTAATACAGAAAAAGAAAAGAAAACTTAGAATTTTCTAACACCAATCAGTTTCATACTTCGGTCGTGAAATTCATTTAGTGTTAATTTGTATTCTTTATATCTTTTTTCCAAATCAAGAATGCGTGTATTTCGTTGAACATATAATTTTTTACGTGATGGTGTTGCACCAGTGGCAGAAGTTTGTGTTATAATAGCTGTATTGAACGCAAAATCTTCTTTTAATCTATTAAGAAATACGTGAAAATCTGGATGATGAACATGATAAAGCGAAGAATTTAGCCTGCAATGCCATCCCTCGACGTTATTGTTAGTACGATGACTTAAGAAATCAAAATCCATGATAAACAACGAATAACGTAACTGAGTTTTACCAAATGTTCTGTGTCGTCTTCCATGATAAACAGCTACATACCCTAGTCGTCACTTCTAATAAACGAATTAGAGAAGAACTTTGTGTTTTTTCTGATCCAAGGCGACTAATATCACCGAAAACTCCGAAAAACTTAAGGGCATTTTTTCTGCTGAAGAAAATACCGCTTGTTTTGGCGGTTTTTCTGTATAAACTTCGTGTTTGGGTTTTTGTGTCAAAGCGCATTAGTTTCTTGAGGTATGCACATTGTTTTACATATTTCTCCCCCCACGCTCAAGTGCATGTGATAAGAAGGTCAAGCACATACTTGTAGAGTTTTACAATGTAAAACTACCCATGTGCATGGAGCCAAACCCTTAGGCATGGTATCTCATGTGCTTGAGAAAAGAAACATCATTAGCGTCACACTCTCCTCTGCTCGTCCTGAATAAACAAACTCAAACACAAGAATATTTAACGAGAAAATCAGACATTTCGCAAATATCCTGGACTGGGAGGGAGATATAAATGAAGCAGAAACGAAAGTATATGCAACTTCAAAAACGTAAAACCAAGTTTTTCGCATTTTACAAATGCAAAACGAAAGGCAGTTGAAGTGTATCCAAGCAGGGGAACATTTACATATTGCTTACAGGGTGTTGCAAAACCTTTACGCCGTCTTGGTTCGACCTTAAGGTCAACTGATTTCAGTAGGTATTTTATAGCAAATTAATTGCCCGTAAAAAACTGCATCGATGAGTGCAGTTAGACCAAATATTGCCTGTTACATTATTAAAAGATCTTACACCATATATCAAAATGTCATAGATCCTAGAATGTCAAATATATGAAAAAACGATCATACCCATTTCTCCACATATACCTTACTTCTTGATGCATTGTAGCTTATATCACTTTGAAGTGTTTTTAATGTGTATTCTTTTAGAGTAGGGTATTATCTACTCTAAGTAGCTCTCGTTCTGTTCGACTGTTACAAAACACGTACACGAACTGAATAATGTGTTTATTCTTAATTGAAAAAGATTCAGTACTCATGCTTAACAATTACTACCTTGCCGAATGGCAGTGTGTCGGATGGTATCATGCTGTTTTAAACACAGACAATATGAGCATTGTAGGTGACACAATTGACTATGGAACTTATGGATTTTTAGATCGTTATGATCCGAAGTTTATTTGCAACGGATCAGTCGACAATGGACGCTATTCTTACAAACAACAGCCAATTGTTTATCGTCGGAATTGTGAAAAACTCGCTGAAGCACTATCTCCAAGAATGCCAGTACAGCAAGCAAAACAAATTCTTCAAAAATTTGGTATGATCGTTTTTTCATATATTCGATATTATAGGATCTATGACATTATGATATATAGTGTAAGATCTTTGAATAATGTAATAGGCAATATTTGGTCTAATTGCACTAATCAATGCAGTTTTTTACGAGCTTCAGTTTAGTATAAAATACTTAGTGGAATCATTTGACCTTAAGGTCGAATCAGGGGGGCGTAAAGGTTTTGCACCCTGTAATCAAAACGCCGCACCACAATCAGTGCGGGATTACCCACCGATGAACCTAACAGTTTTTTCAATCTTTATATTGCATGCAATGTAATAACTATTATGATCTATTTATCTAATTTAATAAAATGACGATCACCCGAGATTCATTTTTATAAACAATGATGGAGAGTTTCTCAAATATACTTTATTCATAAAATGTTTTGCAGAAAACAAAGCAGTGGAGATGCCGAGCATCGACCCCCGTAGCTCTTGCAAGCGAGAGATACCGGCACCTTAGTTAAAAACCTTAAAATTCAAACCAGTATTCGAATTAATCAATGAGATATTTTTGAAGGAGCCTTGAATCTTAGAATTCTACAGAGAATTTTAGATTAGAATCCAGGTGTTTTATTATGAAAAAACATAATTCAAAATACTAGAATTTCACAAAATAAGATCTTCCTAGAACATTCAGAGTTTCTGCTAAGCGGTTGCTACTTGTTAGCTTCAGTTCAATAAGCAGATATTTTACCAATTGAGCAAACTTATATTTTCTTCTTCGTTTTGTTCCTTTGCTTCTTTTTGTTGTTTCCGTGAACATGATTTAATGAAGATCATTTGTAAAAAGAAAATTTGTCTGTCTATCTCCAATATGTCTTTGCAATAGCTCGAGTATTCTGCCATGCTTCATCCAGCGCACGGACGACCTCGTCCGGTAGTGGTCCCTTTTGTAAGTCCTTCAAATTTGAGTCCAACTGCTCGACACTACTCGCGCCAATAATGATTCCGTCGCCATCAAAAGGACGCAATTTCGAGTGATGCACAAGCCATCGAAGCGCCGTCTCGACGAGAGTTAGACCCTGGTTTTGCACCGCTGGTGTGAGATGATTAATGGCATCGAGATAGATCTGATTAAAGTATCGATCACGGTACAACTTTCCCATTGTGTGTCCTTCGGCATTTGAAAATCGACCTTCTTCTGGGATTTCCGATGATGACCTGTATCGTCCAGAGAGAACGCCCCCAGCAAGTGGGTTGTAGATGACAATGTCGATTCCGTAGTGCTGGCAGCAGGGCACGAGTTCCTCTTCTAAGGCACGCGTTAGCGCATTGTACATGCCCTGATAGATTCTTGGACGGATCCATTTTTGAGCAATGCAGATTTGCGCAATTTGCGCCACCTCCCAAGCGGCATAGTTGCTCAACCCGAATATCTTGAACTTGCCCTCCTCGTACATTTTATTGATTTCCTGAAGGCGATCGTCCAAGTAATACGTTATCACTAAGAGCGGAGTAGCACAGTGTACTTTTTTCAGCATAGCAAGAGGACATATGAGTTTTTTCGGCAGACAGAGAGACATTTATTCTGCTGTAATATGCTTTCTGATCCCGATCCGAACATACTTCGTAGAAAAAAACTTGTTTCCGAAAAAAAAATGTTTGGCCTAAAGTCTTTTGATAAGAGCAACAGTTTGTCGATTTTTTCTTATGAAACCTTTTCACTGGAGCTTTCTCTTGTATTTAAAATCGTTGTAGACGATTTATAGTTCGAGATCAGAGTGACACACTTCCCCTTAGCGCGCTCTAAGGATGAATAACTTGATTGATTGATTGATTGATTTATACTTTAGTAGCCACAAGTAGATAATAGATAGTGAAACAAAAAAGGGAACACAAATATACATCTTTACATAAACAAAAACAAAAGCATGCTACTGGGAAGGCGAAAAAAGTTCTAACAACCGATAAACTTTGCCACCTTATTTTAAAACGATTAAAACTCACGATACTTCTTGAGCTTTGTTTTTATTGTGGGTGATGTAACAACAGGTTCGGGAAGGGTTAAATTTCAGTCTTTGGCTGTTTGGCAGATAAATGATTGGAGAACGATTTCTTTTCTAGTAAAGTGAGTTTCTACTGTTCTCGAATGATTAAGACGGCTTGATCTTCTAGACTGGTCGTATTGGATAAGGTTTAGTCTAGATAAAGGAGAGAAGCCATTAAGAATTTTGAAAAAATGTATAAGAAGAAAGTATTTTCGCTTTACTTGAAGTAGAGGCAGATCAATCTCTTTAGTAAATTCTGCTGGGAGTAGAAAGGTTTCGAGTAACCATATGGAATGCTAGATGTTGGACGGACTCAAGGCGAGACACCTGAGCGCTGTCATATAAGTAAAATAAGTTCACTGCTTGTTGTCCAGGAAATGTTTTCTCATTTCATTCATTTTTTGTTCTAGTTCTTGATTAGCAAGATTGTTTTCGCGACCCACCGTCACCCCTCACAACACACACATTATATTCTGTCTACAGCTTATCCTTTATACACTGTTGCAGGTTTATCCGATTCAATCGACCAATCATTCAACGAATAGATGGTCATTGCTTTTTGTACTATACTATTTGTAACATCAATGCTTCTCAGGGCTAACGTCCGTCTCAGCCGCATGCTACTAATCTTACACTACACCAGCATTCGTCCCATGTCCTTTGAGCTACTCTCTGTCATAGGTACGCGATTGTTCTCTCTAGCAGGATCAACACGGAGTCCAACTGAGTCTATCCTCGGCACGTGCTTTGATCTCTCGCGTCAGCTTCTGTTTTGTATGTAAGGCCCTTTATCCCAAATCAATTTCATGATGTATTTTGAATTTTTCGGTGTCATAGGCCCATAAAGGCCAAATAAAAGAAAAGTAGAACACATAGTTGACTTACGGAGCTGAATGTTGGATATATGATTCAATGCAACTCGTTCCTGAATATAACTTGTATTTGATTAAAAAAGCTTCGTTGCAGGAAAAGTGAATTTTATTTGAAAAACCAAGGTTTTTTGGAAAATCTGCAGACAGTCGCCAGGAAAACTTGTTCTAAATGTACGGTATATATATATAGACGAAAATATTGGTATGTTTTCAACTGGACTAAACCGTCTCTAAAATACTCATAATTAGTGTGAAAGCTAATTTTGTATCTCGAAGCTTCTAAACCCAAAGCCAAAAATTGTATTTTTTTGTCTAGCTGTCAATCAAAGCTAGAGTTAAAATGGCACAGAATATGAGCCTGAGTTCATTATGTTATCGAAAAGGATACTCTTGTTTTTCTATCTAATATCAGTAGATTGTTTCATTATGATCCTTTGATGAGAAGTTTCTATTGTTGATTGCGTAAAATGTAGATCTTTTCTAAAACTATACAAGATGCTCGTCTCTATAAAGTGCGTCTATGGTAAATGTAGTTTTTCTTCTGTACCCAACAATGAAGTCTCTAAGAAATCTGCAGTCCTGCAATACTCACAAACTATGTCTTCTAAATGGTCCAGTTAACAGTCCGCTTGAGCTCTATTAGTGGTCCTTAAACAGTCCGTTTCGAGTAGATTCAAACAAAAAAGAGCAGATGCAGTCGCTGATTGGACTCCGGCTGTCCCGTCCTGACAAACACTCAAGCTGGACAAGTTTTGCATCAAATGATATATCAACAAAAAGAATTCCAGCTAAAAACGCCATGAAAAGATCCCATCAGGTTGTTTTATCGGCAAATTTCTATTTTTAGAACAGGCCTTTTTCTATGAAGTACGTTTTAATATGTGGCAGGAATCGTATTTGTCAAACAAAATATATTTCCGTACAGAAGAACCTAATGTCCGCTGTCGGAAAGCCTATGTCAGGCTCACGGTGGAAGGTGGGTGAAATAAAAAGATAACGTTATCAGTAAGGCCAAAAAAGATTGCGAATGATCACGTATGGGTCCGGGGCGGATCAAAAAACACGAAAACTCGATAATATAATAGTTGAATAGTCACAAGGGTCTCTTCGAATGGGACACTTCGATCGGGTGCGTGGAGGTAGAAGATTTCAACGGACTGTTGGCCAAGTTCTCTGAGACTGGTTTCGAATATTTGGCGTAGCTTGTCTGGCTTATGCATACCTGCTTCCGTGGGATACACCTTAGTGGCCACGGTGAATCCTTCATTGAGCACGCCCGTCTCGCGCGTAAAAGCTTCTTGCTTACCATCACTGTACATTCGAGCCGTGTCGAGTTCAGTATAACCGTGCGACTGTAGAGTCTTGAACATTGCTTTCGTTCCGTCGACGGTGGTGATTCTTGCTGCGTTTGTCCCTGGGGGCCCCATCGTCGCGCATCCGAGGATGATCCTTGGAACCTTGTTGCTTGTCATCTCGCTATAATGCTTTTGGGTTAATAATTTGCGGTAAAATTGAATATAAATACATTCAGTGTTTGCGTCTATTTATTCTACACACGTTGATTTCTCGAACTTATACCCATTCTGTTTTTTTTCGTATCTTTTCTCGTTCTTTTTGTGTGTGATAGTCTAACTACATGTGTGCAATAGTGAAGGCCATTCAAAAGGAAAGAAACAAAAAAAATTGTAATTGAAGAAAAAAATCTGCAGTATAGTGCATGATAAAAGAATAAACCCTCGCCATAATAGAAAGTCAGTCTGGAGCGAAGGTTTTTGAAAGACGTCCTGTAGGGATAGAGCAGGTTTTTCACCAAAAAACGTCCGATGTGCAAAACCGCAACCAGAGGAGGCGGAGCGTTCGTAACTGAGGTAAGGCAACCACGGATTTAGAAAGTTTTTCGGAAAGACGCAATTTACTGCGTAGGAAAGATACTTGTTGGTTTTGGAAAATAGTGTTTCGTTGTCGAGAAAAAATGAATTTTTTCGAAACAGGTACCAAAAACAAGCAAATGCACTTATGTTTTGCAGTTTTTGCCGTCAAATTTCCGTTTTTGCAGAATCAATGTCATATTTGGAACCAACATCAAAAACTGCATTGACTGGTGTGTGTTGCCGAACTTTTAAACAACTTCGATTTTTCAGCAAAATTCTCAGCCGAGAAATTCGAAAAAAATATGACTGTAGAATTTAGAAGGGAAATGATTACATATACTATTATCGACGCTAAAAACCAGCTTCCCCAGCTATTTTTGGAATAACTTCTGATAGAAACGTAATCGCATCTGCGATTTTGAGATGCTGAATTTAGACACTTTCTCACAACTTTCACTCAGCAAAACTATTTTTGAAACTCTTCGGAAGATCCTGCTTTCGGACAATCTTTGGAAAACAACGTTGTGAGTTCTGAAATTAAAACAGTAAGCTATCGATTTTTCTCGATAGATAGGTAGTCCGAAGTGTCTTCTTTACATCTAGATCTAAGCAAACTCCGGATTTTCCTTAGTTTTCCAAGAAGGCCTTTTTCCGAACAAGCAATATCCTTAGTTTTTGCGGTGTGAAGATCCCCAAAACGGTCAAAATACAGGTAATCGACTGTCATAAACATCGTGGCGTCGTTAATTTTACACAGAAAAGAGTTTTCAGTGTACTTGCGACGCTACAGTTCTATATTTGGGCTCTGTCTTGACGCAGAATAGCTTTCGGCGCTTAGCCAAGCTATATAACTTATCTGGAGTGATAGGCCTTCGAAACTGTGGTCTTTTGTCGGAAAAAGAAGTACAGCATTTTTTTCTTTCTGCTTTGACACTTAATGTACAATGTACAGTGGCGCACTGTTGAAGCAAAGAAAGAAAAGAAAAAAAAACATACGTAGATCCAAAAGCATGAACGACTTAAATATGCGTCACATTATGATAATTAAACTTCATGGCAATATACCAATATATATAAAAATTTTCGGGTCATTCGGGTTGAGTTTCGAAACTTTTCGGGTTGGATTGGATAGGGTCGGAATGCTTTCTGGACTGGTCGAGTTTGGGTGATCTGCCAAAAACCCGTTTCGGTCTCTGGTCGATAGTAGTTGAAACAGGGGAGAAAAAGTTTACACGTGAAACATTGCTTCGTATATTTATTTTTCACACATGTGAATTTAAAAAATGAAGAGTGTTGCGGTCCATATAGGTGATTAAGGTGAAAGATGTTCAAATATAAATATGCAATAAACAGTGAGACGATGATCCTGTAGTCGTTAGAATTCGTCTTGTTGTGTTATATACAAAAGCGAAGGTACTGTGTGCTATAATAATGAACCAGGCATGACTTCGCCCTGTACAGGTGATATGTCACTGGCAAAACGTACAGGCAGGGAAGTAGAGCGCGACCAGTCTGCTTCATCCATAACTTGAAAATGAATATGAGGCTCACTAGAGTTACCGGAGTTACCACATGCTCCAAGCTTTTGTCCTCGCTGTACTTGATCATCTACTTTGACGGTAATCGATGACTTACGAAAATGTCCGAGCATACTGTATTCTTTATCGGCATGTCTGATGACTACATAATTGCCTGCAGGATGTTTTTCATTCATTTTGCCAACGACTTTGTTATCTTTAATATCACTGACTACCTTAACAACTATACCATTAGCAGGAGCAACCACCGGCTTGCAATAGGCATAGTAGCTCTCATTTTGTTGAGGATCTCCTTCGAAGGAAGATCCATTGTGTGTAATAATCAAATCGTAGGCATAACGCTGATTATCATAATCATAATGGTGATTAATTAAAGCATTTGTTCCACCCCAGATGACTTGCCAATCTTGTTCGATAGGTGGACTGAAGATCGTCTGTGTACGAATTTGATCTGTAGCTGGATATAATTGTAATCGTCTGACCTGCATGGCAAGAATAGTATAGTCTGGATACTTCATGTGTTTTTCGGCAAAGACAGCCATAACACCACGCGTATTCAGTTCATCTCGCCATACTTTGCGTAAGGTGTCGTTGTGCTTTAGCTCGGCTACAGCATGATATTGCTGTACACTATCGTTAAATGATTGTACGACGTTTAGAAACTTATTCCAAGGTACTTCATCTTTAAAAGATTGAGAAGTCTGTGAATAGATTTGTTCATAGTTACATTGAATCAGTTCATTAGCTAAGCGATCTGGATGAATAAGATAATTCGGCACAGGATCCGTAGACGTCACTTTTACATAACGGGGTGATGTGAAACTCATTGTTCTCACCTCTTGATGAAAGTCAGTTGAGTAAAGTAGACAGCGATGATCATGATCAGGTTTTTGATTTAAAAACCAAAATAGTGATAGATGACGATTAACTGGTTTTGATAACACTGGATAGCATTGGTAAAGACGACCATGAAATAAAATTTTTAACATTGTACATAAAATGAAAAGACAGAATATAACAACTCTTATATAGGCACGGCTGGGCTACAGGGAATGTATAGATTTCCTGATAGTGTTCAGGGAATTTGGGTATATGTTATTGAAATTTGATGTTATTGAAATTTGTCTTGGAATATAATAAATTGATAAACTATGTAGACAACTGATGTTTGCAGTTAGAGTAGAAGAAACGTAAAATTTAGTAATCTATTTCTTAAAATTGTGTTCCATTAATCGCTTTTCTTTCGATGTGATACGTTGATATGATCAAATGTTATTCTTTCAACTGAGCAAAGTGCGTTAACATATTATGTAGACAACAAATTATATTTATTTTTACATAATTCTAAACTTTTAGGTAAATTATTTAAAAACTTTAATCTATTAATTATTTCAATGTATTTATCCGTTGTAATATGAATATTATTTTTAGATTTATGGTTTTCGAGGAAATTAAAACGAGAAACAAAAGCTTTCTCCATAATTTTATACGTAATAGCAACTCTGTTATCTTGAATCGATTTATTGGCTTTCAAACAATAAATACAGCTTTTCAACCTGTTGAACCGTCTGCGTTTTTCGGTTCTTTAATTTTCAGATTAATACAGTCTAATCACGTACAGCTTAGCCGTTTAAAGAACGTAATAATCCTTCTTCATTATTAATCAGGGAACTAGGTTTTATTTTGCTCAGTTGAAAGAATAACATTTGATTATATCAATGTGTCGCATCGAAAGAAAAGCGATTAATGGAACACAATTTTAAGAAATTGATTACTAAATCTTACGTTTTTTCTACTCTAATTTCAAACATCGGTTGGCTACATAATTTATCAATTTATTATATTCCAAGAGAAATTTGAATGACATATGCTCAGATTCGCTGAACACCATCAGGAAATGTATACATTCCTTGTAATAGCTACACAGAAAATCATAAGTTTTGCATGTGGATCCGCTACTAGTCAATGTTATTCTAATTAGAATCTGGAATTCTGCTTGCATTTTGACCGATTGACAACAACAGATTCTGTGTAGAATGACATATTTTGCAAAGAATCTTCACAAGAGAATTTGTTCAGAGTATTCAGAATCAAGATTTTATTTCAGTAAGTATTTGAGCTGGTAGTCATGATTACCTACGCACAATTAGTTTGTTTCAAGACATTTATTGGAAATCTTTTTCGAATTATCTCTGATTAAAAAATTAATCATCATGGTTGCGGCACTTAATGCCATGATTAAGGACCGATTGACTGATTAAGTTTATCAATTAGATACAGCATCTGAAAACTATATAGTACTAGATCCATTGAATAAGGTAGATGTAAAATAATTGTGACACGTTCCGGTTCGAGATAGTAAAAACATTTTTATGAGTATATCGTCGGACGTTGTCATTATGAACTTTGATATTATGAGTACTTTCTGATAATCTTTGCCTTCTCATTTCAATGGCAAGTAGTTTTACGAAATTATGAAATATAATTTTGATGATTTACAGCGTGCCTCTTTGCATAATTGTCTTTTTTTAAGATTATTTGACTAGCTGTTTGAAGAAAAGAGATGAAACAATGTTTTGTACCTACTCTGCCGCATCAGCATATAGCAGGTACAGATTATTCGCTCATAATCCTTCTGCATGAAGAAATTTTAGTTCATTTATGTGTCGCAAAAATCTAGTACTTATCACCCACTACCGCTTCATGTATTCGCCATGTTTCTTTAGTCGACTATGTTCAACAAAATTTAATCGATCAAAATAATTCCTAATCATGGCATTGAGTGCAATAACCAAGATGATGACTTTTTTAATCAAGGATGATTTGGAAAAAACTTCCATCAAATGCCTGGAAACAAACTCATTATGCGTGGGTAATCATGACTACTAACTCAAATACTTACTGAAATAAAATTTTGATTAACCCTATTTTGTGATGTTTTATCTGCAAATGCCAGTACTTTTGGTATGATGTAAGTATTTATTTAGAATATAAGAAGTCTCATCTAACTTCGTATTTATATCGACTTTTCAGAGATTATAGCTATTTTATTTATTTTATTAACAATTGCAATGACATCAGACATTCTGTTTTCTTGCGCTTTTTTTTAACTAGTTTAACCATAGGATGTTGAAATAACAAAATATGAAATGAGAGTAATAGTAAATATTTGTTATTCTTATCTTCATCCTTTTCTTTGCGTTTCTCTTCATGTTTAAACGAACACAACATACGTTCATTTTCCTTTTTTCGTATCATAAATCAAACGAATTATTAATGTAGGATAGCGCATTCATCTGAACAAAACTTAGAAATTCGAATGTTCAGTTCGACAGATTCTCATTTGTTATAACCAGAATTGTAAAATTAAGGTTCTCGGTTCTTGTGTACGAAACGAAGAGCTTTTTAGTCAATGAAAAGGCGACATTAGAAAGAATATACTGCTTTTAATAGTAAAAAAGCAGTATATTCTTTCTAAAAAATCTAGCGTATATCGTACCTTTTTCCTTTATGTATGCTACATACAGTATGAGAGTGAAGTTGAACACGTGTGAACTTGACGTTTCTTCCTTTCCTTCGTTGACTTTACTCTAGGGTATTACAAAATACTTTTGCATTCTATCTATCCGCAAATGGTATGTGGGCTGAATATTGATGACTCATACGTTTATTAGCGGATTGATTATTCACTAATGCACGTTGAAATATAGATTTTTCGATTTAAGAAATAATTTATATGTGAAAAAATTCCTGGTTTGATTTAAAATCTAATGTGTATCTCAGATTTTTATGTAAAGCTTCCAAATTCTTATGTATGTAACGACCTCTTCTTTGTAGAGGAGTTTTCATTTTTTTCATAATAGACCATAAATTGTGAATAATGTTATGAGTCGATAAATAATAATACGCTTATTCCACTACCGCTTCATGTATTCGCCATGTTTCTTTAGTCGACTATGTTCAACAAAATTTAATCGATCAAAATAATTCCTAATCATGGCATTGAGTGCAATAACCAAGATGATGACTTTTTTAATCAAGNACTAATGCACGTTGAAATATAGATTTTTCGATTTAAGAAATAATTTATATGTGAAAAAATTCCTGGTTTGATTTAAAATCTAATGTGTATCTCAGATTTTTATGTAAAGCTTCCAAATTCTTATGTATGTAACGACCTCTTCTTTGTAGAGGAGTTTTCATTTTTTTCATAATAGACCATAAATTGTGAATAATGTTATGAGTCGATAAATAATAATACGCTTATTCATAAACGCAAGAAAATAGGTCTCAATCAAAAATAGAAAACTAACAAAAATCATCTGTTTTACTTGGTAAGAATAATTTCGCAGCGCAACTTATAATCAACGCTAACTCATCACATAACATTAGCCCGCACTTAAAAGAATTACACGACCTCGCAGAACTGTTTTGTGTACATTAATTCTTTGAATGCAAAACAGGCTCCGGTCCTTTCGTTTGTTGAGATGCCAATACGACATAGAGATAGTGGTTGGAAATGAATTTGTTGCAGTACTTTATGCTGTCTAAATCATTTCAGTCTGGTCTAGTTGTATAGTTTCATCTAAGATCTTGCGATCTACCAACATCTCGATCTTTGGTCTAGATCTCAGACATGGTCAATGAATGCTCCCGGAAATCTTCATGAAGGTTCATGTTCATTACCATGTTTGATCATCAGTCTGGGTATCTTGATCTGGCTGAAAGGCGTTGAGAAAAGAGATAACTAAGTTCCATTCATCTCTAATGATTTGGCAACGTCAAGATGCTTTTTGCAATAAGGTTGTTCCTTTTGTCCTTCTCATCGTTTCTCCAAATTTTCAAACGTCAGTTTTCATTTGTTCGTAGTCGCCGTCCTAAGCCAATATTTCTGCTTGACAGGTAAGGCAAACTACTCGTTCTACCAAATGTTATGAATCGACAAATAATAATACGTTTATTCAAAAACGCAAGAAAATAGGTCTCAATCACAAACAGAAAACTAAAAATCATCTGTTTTCCTTGGTAACAATAGTTTCAGCGCAACTTATAGCCAACACTAACTCATTACATAACAATAATCTTCGATTTTTGCTAAAACCGCGATTAATCGTGGCAAAATTTCATGACAAAAAGTTGAAAAATAAATTGCACTATGTCTCACGCTGCCAGAGTACTTGTTTTGGAGTGTTTTTGCAGATGCTATCAGTTTAGAAAGATCATTGCTTGGTTTCAAAATCTCGACAATATCCGTCTTCTAGTCTAAAATTGGAGTACTACTACATATTGCATTTTTTCTACAGATTATGTTTGCTTATTTTTATTTTTCAGGTTGTAGGTACTTTTCTGCCACGTAAACATTAGAAGGTGAAAGCATCCAGTTTCTCAAAAACTTTATTTTGGTAGACTTTTTCTCAGAATGAGGTGTGATTGTAGTCCGCAAATTTCTGTAGGAGACCTCCCAACTGCCGCAACGGTTTGACTAACTTCCACTATTAACTTAATATTTAGTTACCTTTATTTTGTTTTGCCACTTTTCTTTTTCAAAAAGAAGAGAAGATTTTTATATTAGATTCATGTTTAAACGAAGAAAAATATGACAATACTGATGTTGTGCAATCGAGTTGGTCATAGACCGACCTGATTGCTTCCACAGCAACAGTTCAAAATAATTCGATTTCAGGTCACTTTAATGTTGAAATCGAATATTAAAATTATATTCGCGCCAGCTGAAATTGATAGATGAGATTTCTGATGTCCAATTATTTCACTAACAAATTCATGAGGATAGTGACTTTGACTCCAAAAGCATTTGGAACGGTATTGT